CAATTAAGAGAAAACTTGAGATTAGGTCAATGGCTCAAAAATGCCAAAAGCAAACAATTTTACTGACCACAGCTTAACCCTCTGTACATTTAGGTAATCCACTGCAAAAATATAGGCCTGCCCAGAACAGAGAAGCATGCAAAAGAAAAAATGAAAAAAAAAAAAAATTAATGTAAGCCAGAAGTAATCCAGCAGCTAGTAAAGGTACATCATTCTCTACCTCAGATGGTATAAGCGTGTTACAGAGTGTGTGTATTCAGTGAACACAGGAGAAGCAGAAGTTTAAAAAAGGCCAGCTTCTGGAGATAAGACAGAAGTGGAATCAAGTGTGGTGTGGGCAGGGGAGCAATAGGGAATTACATCAAGGTTGCTAACCTGGGCGACTGAGATAGTATTAATCGGAGCAAGTGACAGATGATATGTTCAAGAAGTAGCTGGAAATACATGCTGACTTTAGAAGAGAAACCTGGGCTGGAGACAGTCTGAAGCATCCCCATGCAGATAGTGTCAAAGCCAGGGAAGCAGATGACATCACCCAGGAAGAGTATGTAGCTTACCAAGAGTGGAGAGTTACGAGATGAAATCATGGGATGTGCAGGCAGAAGAGCCAGAGAATGAGACAAAGCTGAGAGACAGCGGAGTGACACCAAGACAGAATAGTGTCTTTGAAGCCAAGGAATGAAACAATAAACTTTTTTTTTTTTGTAGAGATGGGGTCTGGCTCTGTTGCCTAGGCTCTTCTCAAGCCACCTTCCCACTTTGGCCTCCCAAAGTTGTTGGGATTACAGGCATGAGCCACTGCACCTTGCCAGAAATGAACTTACAATAGCACTAATAAGGTCACTGATGACCTCGGCAAGAGGGACAGTGAAGACATGAGCCAATTCCTACCATATTGAAGATATGAAGGCCAAGCATGGTAGCTCATGCCTAATAATCCCAGCACTTTGGGAGGCAGAGATGGGAGGACCCTTTGAGGCCAGGAGTTTGAGATTAGCCTGAGCAACATAGCAAGACCCCACCTCTGCAAAAATTTAAAAAAAAAAAAAAAAAAAAGAAAGAAAAAGAAAAAGAGCCAGGCATGGTGGCATGTACCTGTGGTGCCAGCTACTTGGGGAGGCTGAGGCGAGAGCACTGTTTGAGCCCAGCTGCTAGAGGTTGCAGTGAGCTGTGATCACAAAACTATGCTCTAGTCTGGCCTGGGTGACAGAGCAAGACCGTATCTCAAAAAGATACAGAGACAGTAAGACTGTGGAATGCTCTTCCAACACGTTTAGCAGAGAAGGGAAGGGGGAAAATAAGGCCATAGCATGACCGACGTAAGAGGAGGGAATTTTTTGAAGGATGGTGGGTACTTCAATATGTATATAGGCCAATGATTTTCAAAATTGACTGTCATCAGCATCACCTAGAGGGCTTGTTAAAATTCAGACTGTGGGACTTGACCTGAACAAGTTTCTGATTGAGTAGGTCTAGGTTGGAACTCAAGAACTTACATTTCCAACAAGCTCCCAAGTGACAATGCTGCTGGTCTGTGGACCAAAATGGAGAACCACGGGAGTAGGCGAAGAGAAAAATATCCAAAAGAACAATGTTTGAAATATTTAGGCGATGGAGATATTTATAGGGCAAAACACAGCAGAAGGAGAGGATGGAATTCAGAAAAAGGTAAAACAGTTGGTCTTGAGCAACAAGTGAGGTCATCTCTTCCTCTGAGACAGGCAGGCAGATGAAGATGTACATGATTAGAGGTAAAGTTTACAGGTGGAGAAAAGGCAAGTTAAGAGTTCATGCCTGAAGGCCTTATTTTCTCCGCTTATTTTTTCAAAGCAGTATCATCTACTGAGAATTTAGGAGATAAGGTAGAGTAGGGGAAAATATTAATAATTATACATTTAACAGCCATGGGAAAAAAACATGTTAAAGTATTCCCAAGTTCCACTTATTTTTAAGACAGAGTTTCACTCCATTGCCTAGACTGGAGGGCAGTGGCACAATCACAGCTCACTGGGGTGGAGCCTCAGCCTCCTGAGTAGCTGGGACTACAAGTGTGTGCAACCAACCACCCCTGGCTAATTTTTACATTTTTGTGGAGATGGGGGCCTCACTATGTTGCCCAGGCTGGTCTTCAACCTGGCTTCAAGTGATCCTCCTGCTTCAGTCTCCTAAAGTGCTGGGATTAGAGATGTGAACCACACCTGGACCATCAACCGCTGCTGAAGAAAAATCTAAACAGTATCAGCCTGCCTCAGTAATTACAGCATAATTAAAGAAAAAAGGAAATACTCGATTTCCTTTATTATTAAGTAAAATAGCAAGAAGCCATTAACACTCAGAGAAGTCTTCCGTTCTCCTCTAGATAAGTAGGGCAGACAAAGTTTGGATCAGCACTCCTGAAATTAGGTCATGACCAATCCACAAAGGAAGCTGTTACTCATTTTACTCACTCTAGGACATCACTATTAAAGTTTTTTTTTTTTTTGAGACGGAGTCTCGCTGCATCGCCCAGGCTGTAGGGCAGTGGCGCGATCTCGGCTCACTGCAAGCTCCACCTCCTGGGTTCATGCCATTCTCCTGCCTCAGCCCCCCGACTAGCTGGGACTACAGGTGCCCGCCACCTCCTCCGGCTAATTGTTCTGTATTTTTAGTAGAGACGGGGTTTCACCGTGTTAGCCAGGATGGTCTCTATCTCCTGACCTCGTGATCCGCCCACCTCGGACTCCCAAAGTGCTGGGATTACAGGCGTGGGCCACCGTGCCCGGCCTCACTATTAAAAGATTTTTAAGCTTGGGTGTGTTAACTCTTAATATTTACATATGGAATTGTTTATATTTTTATATGCATGTATTTTGCTTTAATCAGATGTTCACAAGTCTAGAACTCTTCAACTCTCACCACCGTTAATGTCAACTGTCACCCTGCTCTGGATTGTCCACTGTCAAAACAGTTCAGTGACATGAAAAGTCCATATTCAATTGTGTAGCCCAGAAAGGGGAATGGGAATGAAGTCTCCACACTTAAAATGTAAAATATTGGCTGAGTGCGGTGGCTCATGTCTGTAATCCCAGCACTCCGCGATGCCAAGGGAGGATTGCTTGAACCCAGGAGTTTGAAACCAGTCTGGGCAACATAGTGAGGCCTCCTCTCTGCAAATACAAAAAGAAAAATTACCTGGGCATGGTGGTGTGTGCCTGTGTTCCCAGCTACTCAGGAGGCTAAAGTGGGAAGATCACTGGAGTCCAGGAGCTCAAGGCTGCAATGAGCTTCGATGAGCTGCGATTGTGGCACTGCACTCCAGTCTAGGCGACAGAGAGAAATTCTATCTCAAAAAAAAAAAAAACCTAAAATATTGAACTATGTTCTCAGGCACATGTGCTATCATTCATTCAATCCTACTATGTGCCCTTTTTACATTCAGGTTTAACAGGGATGAATCCAACTTGATATTTTGGGGACCCTCTTTAAGAAAAGTAATACAAAATTAAAAATACAAAACTCCTAAGGCACCCCCTCCCAGGGCCTTGTACAAGTAAGGGGCCCAAAACCTTAAGCTTAGTTTATTGGTTTAAATGAAATCTGTTTCTTGGTTCAGACGAAATTTTGCACTGAAAAAATACTTCCTCTAGCTTCATTTCCGAGTCAACTCCTCCCCCAACCCCAACTTCCCAAATGCCAGTGTAAGTTCCAGGTTGAGTTTAGAGTCATTATGAAGTCAAATGTGTTCCTCCATCCAGCTGTCCAAAACATTTATTGACTACTACAGTAGGAAAAAGATATGATCCCTCAATGTAAAGGAGCTCTATAATATTTATTTATGAACCAATGAATGAATGAATGAGAGTCTGGCCCTGTTGCCCAGGCTGGAGCACAGTGGTGCGATCTCGGCTCGCTGCAACCTCCACCTCCCAGGCCCAAACGATTCTCTTGCCTCAGTCTCCTAAGTAGCTGGGATTACAGGTATGTATATTTGGTAGAGATGGGGTATTGCCGTGTTGGCCAGGGTGGTCTTGAACTCCTGACCTCAAGTGATCTGCCCGCCTCAGCTTCTCAAAGTGCTGGGATTACAGGTGTTAGCCACTGTGCCCAGCCTAAAATTTCTTTTAAATTTTTAATTTCTCTAAAAATTTAAAATAAGTTTTAAATTTTTAAATCTTTTAAATTTAAATTTAGTTCCTCTGTGTAATTAAGTCCCTGTATGCAATTCAAGTTTCTTATAGTCAGAGTTTTTTTGATTATTAAATTGTTCACTTGATCAGTAACTAATCGCTATTATCTGTCCTTACTGCTAAAGTATTTCTAGCTTAAATAAGTATTTCACAAATTTTCAAATATATCCAAAATGTGAAATATGTTTTACTTTTTTTTTTTTTTTTTTTTTTTTGAGACAGAGTCTCCTTCTGTCACCCAGGCTGGAGTGCAGTGGCACAATCTCGGCTCACTGCAAGCTCCGCCTCCCAGGTTCAAGTGATTCTGCCTTAACCTTCCCAGGTGTGCGCCACTATGCCTGGCTAATTTTTGTATTTTTAGTAGAGACGGGGTTTCACCATGTTTGCCAGGCTGGTCTCGAACTCCTGACTTCAGGTGATCCATCCACCTTGGCCTCCCAAAGTGCTGGGATTACAGGTGTGAGTCACGGTGCCTGGCCCATTTTTTACTTTTATCTGCTATAAAATTTGAATTTTGTTATGACAAAGCCTATCTAAGTTGATGAATATATTAATCATTTTCAGGTTGGAGTATTTTTTTTTTTTAACCTCTTCCAGGCATACAGCCACATGCTATCATCAGTGGAAAAGCTACATTGCTGACTGCTCTCATTTTGAATTAGAATATGAAGTCTCATATAAATAAATGGATTACTTTTCATATTTCTGATTAAAACAAGGCTGGCTGAGATTTATTACTTTACCTTGAAATTTAAAAATATACCTACTATAAAAATTTTAATTAAACTCTGAAACTATTTTATAGTAGAACATCAACATTTTCTGGATAGGTAAAAGCTTTTATATTACATTTTTATTTTGCAAGAAAATAAATTATACAACTTAAAAAATAAAATCCAAAAATTAAGCAGTTCATCAAAATATTTCAGCCTACTGCATACAGAAACTGCTACTACTTAAAATTGTACAGCATTATCATCTCAGTATGTAGTGGCACACATTCAAAATCGTATAGACCATATGAGGATAGATTACAACTTAGAAACTAAAATAAATTTGTTCAACACTCCAGACAACAAATAGTGTAGATGACAGGAAAACTCTCATGTAATGTTTATTTCACAAACATGACCTTGGAAGAATTTATAAGACAGCATCCCAGTCATTTACATGAGAATAGAAAAACCAGCTTGAGTTTAAGATAGCAAATCTTTCTGTAAAACTAGCAAATCTTTCACCCAGACTGAAGTGTTAAAATTTGCCCTTTGAGCAGTGCTAGAGATATCTTACTGCAAATAATGCAAAATACTTTTTAAACTACTCAGGTCATATTTTCTATTAAATTTAATAAAAAGTAAAAGAAAGCTAACATTTCATTTTTGGAAGGTTTAACATTTATGCACAAAATAAGAGCGAGAGACTTAAATAAAAAAGTTGACAGAACTCAGGGACCCCTCCAATAAATGTAAAAATTGGAAGACTTCAGAATTTATTTCAAGATCCTCATTTAATCATTGGAATAGTAATATTCTAATATTTATCTCATTGTGACCATCAAAATTGTTCTATATTTTCACTTCCTAAACTTGTCTTATGTCTACTTACTGTGGCAACGAGATGGCAACACAAGTTAACATTTTCCAGATGGAATGTCTTTGAACTAGAAGATGGGTATTCAGAGCTTAAGATGGCCTCCGAAGTGTCTTATTGCCATACCGCTAATTTTTAAAAATTAAATGTATTTTTTTTTTTTTTTTTTTTTGGAGAGGGAGGCTGGATTTTCTTTTCCCTTAACTGCAGGTTTTATCTCTGCTCGGCACCAATTTTAAGTGCACACTGGAGAGAAGAGACCTGAATAAAGGATGCCGACTGTGATTCCAGACCTTTACAAACTGCTGGTAGGATTTTTTTTTTAAATTTTATTTTTTTTTAATTTGCAAATCTGTTGTTAAAGAAAACTGAACAATGGCATAGGCACCTTGTCAACTAAATGGTTTTCATGAACACCAAAAAGTAGTTAAACTTTTGTATACATAACCAAAAAACAACAACAACAACAACAAAAAAAAAACTGTACGTTTACAGTATTTGCTGCTGTTCATTCCCCAAAATACAATTAGGACATAATTGGCTATTAAAAATTTATAAAATTTAATTAAAAACTTTGCTATGAATTTAGTGTTACCCACTTTTGCATTAAATTCGCCTTCATAAATCAAAACATCATGACTCTCATTCTTAAACTAAATGACCCAAAATTAGAAGTTCCAAAAAAGTTCTGAGAACAATTATGGTTTAAAACAACAAACCGAAATTTTTTAAATGGACTACAATTTTTCCTCCTATTGTTTCCTCCTTTGGCATTCTTGTATTGGGACAAGCAAATACGCCAATGTTGAATTATCTGTTAAACATAAGGGCCACAATTACTACAAAATTATTTCTTCTAAATTTCAAATATACCCATTATGAACAGTCACCTAATTAGAGAAAACTGTGAGCACTAATTTTAGTTTAATTCTTCACAATATGCTTGGTCCAATAATTGACATTTGCTACCTTAAAGATGAAGTGTAAAATTTTAAACAAAATTCCAATTTCCTATGAGTTTCAGAACAGGCATTTGACTATACTCAGCAAAACTCTGTGTTTTCAATTGCTTTCCTTCCATTCAGCAGGCAGTTCACAAAGCCTCTTGGGATGGGGACAGATCGAAATGCTCTTGAAAGCACTCCACTGTAACATAATACTGTATGTCTTTCTGTACTCCATTTCCTACTATCTTCAAAAACCATACTTTAAAAATATTACTTAACATCAAACAAGATAGAAAATAATTTGCAAGAAAATTTGAAATGTGCACCACAATGAATAAAAACCCAAGTTGAGCCATTCTTTCCCCAAGGGGGATAATTTTCTCTTTTAAGTTGTTCACGTCCTCAAGTCCTAAAATTTCCACTACTCTGGATATTCAGTTGCCAGCAACTAGTTAAGTTGCTACTTTGGATAGACTGAAAGGAACATGGTAAATGTTGCCTTCTGATGATTTAAAAAATGTTTATTTTTAAAATATATAAATATATATGTACATATATTTGGCAAGTTTACTGCTCGTATTAGGAGTGCAACAATTTTGCTTCTGTTTTTCAGGTCTTATGTTGTGGTTTTTCTCTTACCCCTAGGTGACTGATTCAAACCTGAGGCTACAAATCCCTAATCATGAGACCTTAAAATACCAAAATACTTCTATGCTACAGATTAAGACATCAGTTACATAACTATATCAGAGCAGAAGATTTCTGTGGTGTTTTTAATAAATTCAGATATGGCATAATAAATATTAGGTATATAAATATTAAGTGTGTTAGTAAACACACAGTATGTTTAGTAAACACACTTAATATTTTTGTTTTGCTATTTTGACTCTGCAATCATAATGACCTACCTATCTCCATAAATTTTTTTAAACAATTGAAGCAACAATTAATATAAACTTCACTTTTCAAAACAAGCTCTCCAGCCATATTAAAAAAATAAAACAAAACAAAAAAACAACTCCTTATCATTGAACAACAACTAAAATAGCAGTCTCCTGTTTAAAGAAAACCAACATTTGAAAGTTGAAAATATTTAATACCATTTTTAGGTCACCATTAAAATCCAGTTATTATACTGAGCAATGTTTGAACAATTTGATACTATTAAATACTTAACTTCTCACCTACATCTGCCCTTTCCCAATGTTGCATTGACCAGCTCACTCTTTTCATCAAAAGAAACCAAGAGTGCTATTTCTAGTTTTAATTGCATTTTTTAAAAACAAAAGATAACAGCATTTTTCAGTGCATGAATATCTGAAGATCCTTCCCTGTGCAAGTACATTTTTTAAGAGAGGAAAAAAGAGAAAAAAGCAACAAGAACCCCGCCCTCACCCTTCCCAACTGTATTTCTCCTGGTGGGTACAAATCAAATTCACTTTCAAAAGTTGATAATGGGCTCTTCATGAATGCAAGTTTCTCCACAAAACAGCATGCTGTTAGAGTGTGCAACATGAAGGGAATGCCATCATGCTAACTAATGTGATTGGCAAAATATAGTTGTTTTCGTAAGGTAAGGCAGAGATTTTAATATTTATGTAATCAAAGTCCAAATAAACCTTTCTCCAGCACAAACTTTACAACTTTCTGCCCAAGCACTCCAAAATTTGGGTTCTAAATATTATCCATGATATTCAAACTTATGCCATATATATGAAAGTGTTGATATCAGATTCATCTCTTCTGATGTACTTGTGCTCTATTAGCCACTCTATTTGCTCTTTTATCATTTTCTTTTGTGGCAAGAACATGTTTTTCAAAATTTCTACTAATTCAGTCTGCAGCTGAGCATTACTAATTTTCTTTCTCATTTTCATTATTTGTATGATAGCTTCCTAAAAGAAAAAATAAAAATAAAAGTGCATTAATATATGAAATTTAAGTACAACAAACTTAAAAATGACTTTTTATGCATATTCATCCTCTATCCAACATCTACCCAAATGAATAACAATCACTAGGGAATTAATCTTGAGACCAGTATCTTTTACTTCACAAATAAAACCATCTTTTGTTTTTTCATTCCCCATAAAAGAAAATCTGCTTACTGGGGTGGGGGGCTAGGGGAGGGATAGCATTAGGAGAAATACCTCATGTAGATGACAGGTTGATGGGTGCAGCAAACCACTATGACACGTGTATACCCATGTAACAAAGCTGCACATTCTGCACGTGTATCCCAGAACGTAAAGTATGTATTTTTTAAAAATCTGATTATAGATATTTTGAAAAATAAGGAAAAGCAAAATTACTTCTGCTGCAAGAAAACTACACCTAATGTTTTAATATTATTTCCTTCAATTTCTTTTTTCCCATACCATTCACATTCTTAAAAGTCATCTTACCTGTGAAAACAATATGTATATAACCTGGTATCATGTTAAACGTTAATTAAAACACAACAAACTCCTTACACTGAATTTTTCCCTTGTATTCAGTTATTTCTTTGTGTAGTAGTACAGGTCAGTTGGGGTCTGTTTTTTTTTTTTTTTTTTTGAGACGGAGTCTTGCTCTGTGCCCCAGGCTGGAGTGCAGTGGCGTGATATCGGCTCACTGCAAGCTCCACCCCCCGGGTTCACGCCATTCTCCTGCCTCAGCCTCCCGAGTAGCTGGGACTACAGGTGCCCGCCACCACGCCCGGCTAGTTTTTTGTATTTTTTAGTAGAGACGGGGTTTCACTGTGTTAGCCAGGATGGTCTCGATCTCCTGACCTTGTGATCCGCCCACCTCGGCCTCCCAAAGTGCTGGGATTACAGGCTTGAGCCACCGCGCCCGGCCGGGGTCTGTTTTAAAAGTCATTAAGTAGTATTCTTTATATATTTACCAGATTAATTCATTATATTTGCTACAAATATTATCTTCAGTTTATAGTGACTCAATTAAATGTTTTTAAGGTTTTTTTTTTTTTTTTTTTTTCCTTCTCTTTAAATACAGAGACAAAGTTTTGCTATGTTGGCCAGGTTAGTCTTGAACCCCCAACCTCAAATAATCCCCTGCCCTGGTCTCCCAAAGTGCTAGGATTACAGGTGTTAGCCACAATGCCCAGTAGTTTTTAAGTTTCTAAAGAAATAAATCTTTTTCATCTAGGTCATTTTATCAAAATTTTTCTTGATGATTTCCTTAATTACTGTTAAGTTTAAAATAAGAGTTATTAGAAAATCATTAAATATTCTTTTCTCTTTTACCTTTTCCAGCACAAGCTCTCTCTTTACCCAACAAAAGGCACTTGTATGCTGGGTGTGGTGGCTCATGTGTGTAATCCTAGCACTTTGGGAGGTTGCTGTGGGTGGACTGCTTGAGTCCAGGAGTTTGAGACCAGCCTGGGCAACATGGCAAAACCCCATCTCTATAAAAAATACAAAAGTTAGCCGGGCATGGTGGCATGTGTCTGTGGTCCCAGCTATTCAGGAGGCTGAAGAAAGAGGATTGCTTGAGCCTGGGAGGTGGAGGCTGCAGTAAGCTGAGATCGTACCACCGCACTCCAGCCTGAGACCCTGTCTCCAAAACAAAAGGCATCTATCTCTTAGCACAGATTAGAGTTTGTTGTAAAAGAAATGTCAAAATAGAAAAAGAAGTAACATTTGCTTTTAACATTTAAAAACATAATTTTGCTGCAAATCAATAGACTTGGGAGTCAGGCACTATTCAGTAAGAGAAAAAATTCCTTCAACTTCCCCTGTACAGATATGATAACCAGCCGGGGAGGGTGGCTCATGCCTGTAATCCCAGCAATTTGGGAAGTTGAGGGGGGCGGATTGTTTGAGTTGTGGAGTTTGAGACCAGCCTGGGAAACATGGCGAAACCCCATCTCTACAAAATATACAAACAATATTAGCCGGGCATGGTTGCATGTACCTGTGGTCCCAGCTACTCAGGGGGCTGCGGCAGGATCGCTTGAGCCTGGAAGGCAGAGGTTGCAGTGAGCTGAGATTGCACCACTGCACTCCAGCCTGGGTGACAGAGTGAGACCCTGTCTCAAAAAAAGAGAAAAACAGGCCAGGCGCGATGGCTTACACCTGTAATCCCAGCACTTTAGGAGGCCAAGGCGAGTGGATCACAAAGTCAGGAGTTCGAGACCAGCCTGGCCAACATGATGAAACCCGTCTCTACTAAAAATACAAAAAATAGCTTGGCGTGGTGTCGAGCACCTCTAATCCCAGCTACTCGTGAGTCTGAGGCAGGAGAATTGTTTGAACCTGGGAGGCGGAGGTTGTAGTGAGCCAAGATCGTGCCATTCCATTCCAGCCTGGGCAACAGGGCGAGACCCCGTCTCAAAAAACAAAACAAAAATAAATAAAAGATATGATGACCCCCTTCACTGACATCAGAAGGTCAAGTGAATTCCTCTCACCCTGGATGGTATTCAGATACCAGGCTCCTGATCATCATAAATTGGGGTTTATGTCAGGGGTTCAGAGAAGAAGGAGGAAGAAGGAAAGTCTGTTCCTTCAGGCACTTGAAGATTACAGGAACCCGGAGGAAAAGCAGAGGCATTTGTAAACGTCCCAATTTCTCCTTAGGTAGAGGTGAAGGTGGTAGTTAGATAACCTAAGGGGAAAACAGAGCAGAGGGACACTGGCCCTGGTCCCCATTTGATATGCTGGAGGTCACTTAAAGAGTAGCATAGTATGATAGAAATAATCTGCACTTCTGACTCTCCCTCAGTTCCCACGTGTGACAGCAAGAGTTTCGAGCTAATGGACCTGCCACAGGGCCTTTAATGACAGGGCAAGGTGATCTTGCCATTATTCTGCAGAGAATAATGACACTGTGCCATGTAGGCCAAGGAACCACACAGAAGATGTAGTGGAGTCTCAGAGCCTTCAAGAGCTCAGTAAGAGCAGGGGAAAGACAGCAAGGAAGAGGCCATAGGGTCCTTAGTAACTAGAAGAAGAATGAACCATAAATTCATCTGCTATAGACAACAGCAGCAGTTACCAACAGAAAGCCAAATTCCCAAAGATGATAAACTACTTCACAGCTGCCAAAACCAACAATCCAGGACACTGTCATAACTGCAAAGATATGACGCTCCCTTCACTGTCATTACCAGTCAAGTAAATCCCTCTCAACCTCAATATATCCAAATGCCACCTATGCAAATAGCAGTCAATGGGGATGAGTGGAGTAGGATCAGGAGGAAATAAAGTCTGAGCATTACACCTAAAGACAGCTTAGATTATTGGACTGTACATAATTATGGGTCACATTAAGACAAAAGGACCTCAATTTCTCTGCACATCTTATAGTATCAATACACCCGCTTATACATTTCAACTCTTTTTTATTTGATCTCTTTAGATGGAGTCTTGCTCTGTCGCCAGGCTGGAGTGCAGTGGTGCGATCTCGGCTCACTGCAACCTCCGCCTCCCGGGTTCAGGAGATTCCACTCCCTCAGCCTCCTGGGTAACTGGGACTACAAGCATGCACCACCATGCCCGGCTAATTTTTTGTATTTTAGTAGAGACGAGGTTTCATCATGTTGGTCAGGATGGTTTTGATCTCCTGGCCTCGTGATCCGCCCACCTCAGCCTCCCAAAGCATTGGGATTACAGGCGTGAGCCACTGCGCCTGGCCTATTTTTCTATTTTTTTGAGACAGGGTCTCACTCTGTCACCCAGGCTGGAGTGCAGTGGTGCAATCTCAGCTCACTGCAACCTCTGCCTTCCAGGCTCAAGCAATCCTCCTGCCTCAGCTCCCTGAGTAGCTGGGACCACAGGCACATGCCACCATGCCTGGCTATGTTCATACCATGCCCGGTTATGTTCACACAGGTATATATATTTATCACAACTCACTGAAAATTATACTTTGAAAGATACATTCCATTGTGTCTAAATTACAACTAAAAATTGTAGCAACAAAAAAGAGCTCAACCTTTCTATTTATTCAACTCTCCTAAATTTCCCAGTAAAGGGCCACTCTTTTCATACAGCTCCTACACAGTAGGTTTTTAAAAATGTGTATGAATTTTTCTTATTTTCCTTTTATTTACTGCTACATAGAAATGCAAGTGGTTTTTATTCATCTCTTCTCTGCTACATTATCGTATTACATGATCTATAGGTAATAAGCATTTTTAATCTTTTCATCTTGTTACATATTTTAAAAAGTACAGTAGGCTGGGCACAGTGGCTCACACCTGTAATCCCAGCACTTTGGGAGGCCAAAGCAGGCATATCGCTTGAGCCTAGGAGTTCAAGACCAGCCTGGGCAATATGGCGAAACCCTGTCTCCACTAAAAATACAAACTAGCTGAGTGTGGTGGCGTATGCCTGTGGTCCCAGCTAATCAGGAGGCAGAGGTGGGAAACTCCTTCGAGCCCAGGGAGTTGAGGCTGCAGTGGGTTGAGATGGTGCCACTGCACTCTAGCCTGGGCAACAGACTGAGACCCTGTCTCAAAAAACAAACAAACAAACAAAAAACAGAAAAAAAAAAAGGACACTGGCCAAAAGTTTCAAACAGTATTAAATGAAAATAGTAAAAGTTGAAAGATTTGGTTTTAAAAGGACTATTTCTAAAGTTAAAACAATCATACATAGGTGTTACTTATTACATTCAGAAGATCTTAATCCTAGTTTTAAACTATTTTTAAAAGAATAAATGAATATTAGAGAACATTTTTGGTTCTAAGTAAGTTTCCCAATTTCATATTATAATGCACTATGAAACTGGAATTCATATTCCAACTGGAATGGAAATTTTTAATATATTTTAAAAAACTGATTGAGAAAAGATCTCCCTTTGTTGCCCAAGAGATCCTCCTGTCTCAGCCTCCCAAAGTGTTGGGATTACATGCGTGAGCCACTGCACTTGGCCCCTACATGCTTTTAAATTCAAAATTTAAAAAACAAAAAAAAAAACTAAGGTTTTTTTTAAAACTTCAGACATTCTGTCAATATTACAAACCTGGGTTCTTAGTATTCGTAGTTGAACTATTCCTTCATTCTCTTCTTCTCTCATCCTTTCTGTAGTGAGCTGCAAACGTCCAATCAAGTTGATTTTGCCCCTTTTCTGAACCTTTGCATTTTTTCTACAAAAAGAATTGAATCAAATATTTTATGGCGAAAAACACTTTAAAAATCCTATTATAGCAACAATGTCTGAGAGAAAAGATTTTAAAATATTCCAAAAATATCAGAACTGTTTAAAGGAAAAATGACAACCTACATATTGCTTTAAAACAAACTATATTTTCCTTAAACATGATAACCTGTTAATAAAATGAGTTCTCTGTAAAAACAAAGTTAATATTTCATATTGCCATGAAAGTGACTAGCTAATTGAAGACATATGGGTTATGATTGAGTGTTATTGCCTAACCAGGTCTTTTTTGTTTTTTTTTTTTTGAGACAGAGTCTCGCTCTGTCGCCCAGGCTGGAGTGCAGTGGCCGGATCTCAGCTCACTGCAAGCTCCGCTTCCCGGGTTCACGCCATTCTCCTGCCTCAGCCTCCCGAATAGCTGGGACTACAGGCGCCAGCCACCTCGCCTGGCTAGTTTTTTGTATTTTTTAGTAGAGACGGGGTTTCACCGTGTTTGCCAGGATGGTCTCAATCTCCTGACCTCGTGATCCACCCGTCTAGGCCTCCCAAAGTGCTGGGATTACAGGCTTGAGCCACCGTGCCCGGCCCTAACCGGGTCTTAACAAAAACAAACAAATAAACAAAAAGCTTTGTGAATAAAGTTGCTTTATAGCACAAAAGGATATCAACCTGAAAGACGAAATGCAACATAGTATAATGTCAGAGACCAAAAATGTATCAATGAAAAATACAGTAAAGTAGTAAACATCTGATTAATATTTTCCATAAACAACTAAATGATCTAAGTTTAGAGTGATGACAGTATATAGTTTTAAATATAATGTAAGGAAAATATTTTGCAAAAAACAAAGTGCTAAAATTCAAACAAGGTATTATTTTAGATCAACTAACAAGCTTACATTAAACTGAACTCCTGGTTCACTGAGAAGAGGGTACCTTCTGTAAAGTCTTTGGGTGAGTTGACTTGAGGTTCATACAATAAAACTTGCCGTTTGAGTTTTGGGAAAGCTACTAAAGACTAGGAAGAATAAGGAGAAAACAATTAGCATCTATAAACAGTATGGAATACTAAGATCAATTCTCCCACATAATCAACATAGGCAAGAAAAAGATTACAAACACAAACTTAAAATGTTTGGTACTTCCATGAGTATAACATTTGAATGCATAATGAGGAAAGAGAGGAGGTGAAAAGAGTTGGTTATGAGAAAGCAGTAAATGCTCTCTTTACAATAAGACAAGACACTGGGATTGTAGACACCATAGTAGGACCATAGTAGACACCATCTGCCAGTTATATACCAGCTATTTCCTCCATAGGTAATAATTAATTTTGGAAATTCAGGCCAAGTGCAGTGGCTCACGCCTGTAATTCCAGCACTTTGGGAAACTGAGGCAGGCAGATTACTTGAGCTCAGGAGTTTGAAACCAGCCTGGGCAACATGGCGAAACCCTGTCTCTACTGAAAATACAAAAATTAGCCAGGTGTGGGGCATGCCCCTGTAGTCCCAGCTACTAGGGGGACGGAGGTGGGAGGATCGCTTGAACCTGGGAGGGGGAGGTTGTAGTGAGCTGAGATTGTGTCACTGAACTCCAACCTGGATGACAAAGCAAGCCTGTCTCAAAAAAAAAAAAAAAAAAAAAAAAATTGGAACTTTAAGAAGTTTATGGAGTAGGAATAAAATGTAGTTGTGAGCAGGGGGATAATGAGTACAATCTACAAGTCCTCAAACAGACCAAAGTTTGACAAAAATCTTTTAGATTTTTGGTTATCATAAAACCTCTGAACACATTCTCAGTATAAAAATTAAGTATACATCTGAGGTACGGTAGCTCAGGCCTTTAATCCCAGCACTTTGGGAGACTGAGGCGGGCAAATTACCTGAGGTCAGGAGTTTGAGACTAGCCTGACCAACGTGGTGAAACCCCATCTCTACTAAAAATATATAATTAGCTGGATGTAGGGGAACATCCCTGTAATTCCAGCTACTTGGGAGGCTGATACAGGAGAGTTGCTTAAACCTGGGAGGCGGAGGTTGCAGTGAGCTGATATTGTGCCATTGCACTCCAGCCTGAGTGACAAGAGCGAAACTGTCTCAAAAAAAAACCAAAAAAAACAAAAAAAACCAAAAGTACATAGCTGGTCACGTTCCTCACAGGTAAAACTTTTAAATACCAACTCAATCTTTCTCTTTTAAAAAAAAAATTTTTTTTGAGATGGGTCTCACCATGTTGCCCAGGCTGGAGTGCAGTGGCATGATTGTGGCTCACTGCATCCTCCTGGGCTCAAGCAATCCTCCCACTTCAGCCTTCCAAGTGGCTGGGGATACAGCCACCAAGCTGGCTAAATTTTTTTGTTTTGTTTTTAGAGATGGGATTGCACTATGTTGCCTAGCTAGTTGCAAACTCCTCAGTTCAAGCAATCCTCTCCTCCCACCTTGGCCTCCCAAAGTGCTGGGATCACAGCCATGAGCCACTGCTCCTGGCCTCTTTTTTTTGAAGCACTTTTTTCTGCCTTGTTAACCCGCCTATTGGCAATTTATTTTTTACATAAATATCTCATTAGTATGTGGGGATGTATATATATAATAATATACATAATTATATATATACATATATATATATATATATATTTTTTTTTTTCCCAGACGGAGTCTGACTCTGTCGCCTGGGCTGGAGTGTAGTGGTGCAATTTCGGCTCACTGCAACTTCCGCCTCCTGAGTTCAAGTGATTCTCCTGCCTCAGCCTCCCAAGTAGCTAGGATTACAGGCGTGTGCCACCACACCCAGCTAATTTTTGTATTTTTAGTAGAGATGGGGTTTCACTAGGGCTGGTCTTGAACGCCTGACCTCAAGCGATCTGCCCACCTCAGCCTCCCAAAGTGCTGGGATTACAGGCGTGATCCACTGTGCCCGGCCTCTATTTTTCATGATAAGACCTTTTGAAACTGTTATGAATTTAATAATATATTACAAGCCAATCATATATTTCCTGCTACATGAGAGGATACAATCTTAAAAACAAAAAAACATAAACCAACCCATAAAGTCCTTCTAAGTTCAGCATCAGGGAGTTCAGTTGCAAGTTTAAGATTTTCAAAGCTGATTTTCTCTCTGGGTCTTTGGTTCCATGCAAACAACACAGCGAGCTGAAACGTGGTTACCTCCAAATCATACTGACCAACTTCATTCTTAAAAGTTATCTACAATAGATAAAATAGATTTTTAATAAATAAGAATCTATGACATGAATTTATATATGAAAAAGGCTGCTGTCTTCCAATATCCACTCTTGCTTTCACAGTAATAAACATTTTAGAAGACGTTAATGACTGCCCAGAATACATGCTTATCTCCCAGCTTTCCATGTAACAAAATGTGGCCACGAGACTGAGTACTGGCCAATGTGATGCAAATGGAAATGACAGAGGAAACTTCTAGAAGTTGTCCCTAATGAAAGGTATAAGCTACCCTCACCTTTTGCTTTCTGTTGCCAGGAAGACTGAGATAGCTGGGATCATGTTGAATTTTGAGGACAAGGGCAGATGCCTATGTCCCTAATAACTTCATGAAAAAATTTCACTATTTCTGCTCAAACTTCTACACATGAGAGAGGCGAAAATCTATTTTGTTTAAGCAGTTCTTCTGTGGAGTCCTGCTACTTTCATCCAAACTGAAAGCTGAAGTAACAAACACACTATCTACTTACAATTCCATTTGACATGAGATGATGCCAATGTAATTTTCTACCACTATGATTTTTTTTGTAGAATTCTTCTACTTCTGGTATCAGGTCCTCCAGTTCAGTAGGAAGTGAGACAAAGACTTTCTCAGAACTTCTTGACCAGGCACCAGCATTCAGAATTTTTATATTAACTGAATCAGCTATAGAGAACAATATCAGGAATATAAAGTAAATTATCTTAACAATGGATAAAATTCAAAATAAATACAGGGTAACTTTGGGTGAAAAATCAGTAAGACTATAAAGATTTTGTTAAAAGTGTCCTTTTGTTTTGAAATAAAGATCTGTAAATCTAACACACTGCTTTGATAGCTGTCTCCAAGGAAATGGACTTCATAACATCTTTCGATCTATTACTGCTGAGGTTTATTTTTAATTTACTGGAAAACAAAGATATTCTTTTTTCTAAGCTTAAAAAATATATATGTAATTATAAAATAATACCTGGTAATGCCAATTTATTATTTTTGTGCATTTCCTTAAAAGCTTGGTTCAAATCTTCAGATACTTTTATGTCCTGAAACATTCTAGCAAGCTTGTTTACATAATCCGCTGGCATACCAACTTCCTATAACAATCAAAGACGGAAGAGGTAAAAAATACATAATCTGATATACTACTGGGAAAAATCTTAATGAAAAACTAAGTCTCAGATGTTTTAATACAAAATTTTTCTCTCTTATTTATTAGAATTTTATTGTCTAATACCTATGAAATTTGCTCTTAGAAACAAAACACGGTATTACAAGGGGTCCCTGCTTTGTGCAATTTTAGTATGTATGAATTTCAGTTACCACAGCGCAGTTACATAATACCAATTCCCCAAGAACAAAGCTCAACTTTCAGTTGACACCATATAATAAATGTAACTGCATAAAGTAAAACTTTATTTCTAGTTCTTCGATCCACAAATCACGACAAAAATAACAGTGACTAATCATAATACATCTTTCAAAATCAATTAGTTGGCATGGTGTGTAATCCTAGCACTTTGGGAGGCTGAGGCAGGAGGATCACTTGAAGCCAGGATTTTAAGACCAGCCTGGGCAACACAGTGAGACCCCATCACTACAAAAAATTTTTAAAAGTTAGCAGTGGCATACTGCCGATAGTCTCAGCTACTCAGAAAGCTGAGGTGGGTGGACTGCTTGAGTCCAGGAGTTTGAGCTCTGATTGCGTTACTGCACTCCAGCCTGGGGAACAGAAGAAGATCCTGTTTCTTAAAAAAATAAAATAAATACATTTTTAAAAAATGTAAACACAATCTATCAGTCATTTGTTTATTCAGTTAAACCACAGAGAGCAAAGTGTGCAGTTTCATTGTATCCTTGGCTTCCAGTAATAAACCCACATGACAACTTATAAAAAAGAATTATCAAACAAGATAATTGGCACACAAAGATAACAAAAGTAAACTGAGGAAATGAAAAGTGATAATGCTGGAAATGAAAGTAAAATAGAACAAAAATGGAGTTACAGAAGAAAGCTGACTGTGGTTGTCAAGCTGATAATACCAGTGTTGAGGAACTTAGTGAAGGCAAATTATCAACATAAAAGATAAAAGTGGTGAGGGACAGTAAAGATAAGATACCCTAGAGGAAGTGATCCTGGCAAAAATGCTATAAAGGAATTTGCAGTATTTCATGACACTGAAAGCCCAAAAGATAAAATGCTAGATGATCTAAATTACAGGGGGTATGACAACTCCCCAAGGCAAAGAAAAGATGCTTACTCTGTCAAGTTACACAAGAAGGCAAGAGCTATTCAAACTACTTTTTTCTTTTTTTTTGGAGGCAGAGTCTTGCTCTGTCGTCCAGGCTGGAGTGCAGTGGCGCGATCTTGGCTCACTGTAAGTTCCGCCTCCTGGGTTCACGCCATTCTCCTGCCTCAGCCTCCTGAGTAGCTGGGACTACAGGTGCCTGCCACTACGCTGGGCTAATTTTTTTACATTTTAGTAGAGACGGGGTTTCACCGTGTTAGCCAGGATGGTCTCAATCTCCTGATCTCGTGATCCGCCCGCCTTGGCCTCCCAAAGTGCTGGGATTACAGGCGTGAGCCACCATGCCCGGCTTCAAACTACTCTTTAACAGCTTTACTGAGTCAGATAATTTACCATAAAATTTACCCTTTTAAAGTATACAATTTGGTCGGGCTCACGCCTGTAATCCCAGCACTCTGGGAGGCCGAGGTGGGTGGATCACATGAGGTCAGGAGGTTGAGACCAGTCTGGCCAACATGGTGAAACCCATCTTTACTAAAAATAGAAAAATTAGCCGGGCTTGGTGGCACACGCCTGTAATCCCAGCTACTCAGGAAGCTGAGGCAGGAAAATTGCTTGAACCCGGGTGGCCAAAGTTGCAGTGAGCCGATATCGCATCATTGCACTCCAGCCTGGGCAACAAAGTGAGACTCCGTCTCAAAAAAATAAAAATAAAAATAAAATAAAGTACACGATTTAATAAAGTTTAGTATTCCCAGAGGTGTGCAGCTATCACCACTATCTAATTTTAGAACATTTCCATCACCCCAAAAAGAAACCCCATACTATTTACAGTCACTCCTCATTTCCCCTCCTGGCCCCAACTCCTGCAAGTCACTAATTTACTGTCTGTGTCTGTGGATTTGCCTATTCTGGACACTTCATATTACCGGAATCATATGATATGGTCTTTGGGATTGGCTTCTTTCGCTTAGCATTATGTTTTCAAAGTTCATCTAATATTGTAGCATGTATTGGTACTTCATTCCTTTTTATCACAAAAAATATTCTATTCTATGGACAAATCACATTTTATTCATTAGCTCACTGACATTTTGGGATGTTTCCACTTTCTGACTATTATTAGTAATCTTGCCATGAACATTTGTTTACAAGTTTTTACATGAAACATATGTTTTCATTTCTCTTCAAATGAATTACCTAAGAGCGAAATTGCTGGGTCAGCTCTGTTTAACATTTTAAGGAACTGCCCAACAGTTTTCCAAAGTGGCTGCACCATCTTATATCCCCACTAGCAACTTATGAAGGTTCCAACTTCTCCTCTTCCTTACTAACATTTGTTATTGTCTGTCTTTATTTTAGCTACCCCGGTGGGAATAAAGTAGTACCTCTTTGTGTTTTTTTGTTTGTTTGTTTTTGAAAGGGTTTCACTCTGTTGCCCAGGCTGCAGTGCAGTGGCACGATCTCAGCTCATTACAACTTTGAACTTCTGGGCTCAAGTGATCATCCCACCTCGGCCTCCCGAGTAGCTAGAACTACAGGCACACATCACCATGCCTAGCTAATTTCTGTATTTTCTGTAGAGATTGAGTATTGTTATATTGCCCAGGGTGGTTTCTAACTCCTGGCTTCATGCGATCCTCCCACCCCAGCCTTCCAAAGTATTTGGGAAAAGCGGGAGCCACCAAGTCCAGCCTCTCCTTGCATTTCACTAATGACTAATGACGTTGAGTATCTTTGCATGCACTTATTGGCCATTTGTGTATCTTCTGTGAAGAGACGTCAATTCGAAACCTTTGCCTGCTTTTAATTATTTGTCTTGTGTGTGTGTGTGAGTGAGGGAGACAGGACCTGACCCTGTTGCTCAGGCAGGAGTACAGTGGTATGATCTCCGTTCACTGTAACCTCCACCTCACAGGCTCAGGCGATCCTCCCACCTCAGCCTCCCAAGCACCTGGGACTAAGGTGCATGTCACCATGCCCAGCTAATTTTTGTATTTTTTGTAGAGATGGGGTTTCACCGCGTTGCTCAGGCTCGTCTCCAACTCCAAGCACAAGCCATCTGCTCCCTCACCCCAGCCTCCCAAAGTGCTCGGATTACAGGTGTGAGCCACTATGCCTGGCCTTATTTGTCATTTTATTGTTGGGTCCTGGTATTTTTTTTTTTAAACAAAGAAATAACGTAGGCCAGGCATGGTGGCTCATGTCTATAATTCTCAGTACTTTGGGAGGCTGAGGCAGGAGGATCACCTGAGCCCAGGAGTTCAAGACCAGCCTGGCCAAAACGCAAAACCCCATCTTTACTAAAAATACAAAAATTAGCCAGGTGTCATGGTGCAAGCCTGTAGTCCCAGCTACTTAGGAGGTTGAGACAGGAGAATTGCTTGAATCTGGGAGATGGAGGTTTCAGTGAGTCAAGATGGCACCACTGCAATCCAGCCTGGGCAACACAGCAAGACTCCGTCTCCAAATAAAAAAAAAAAAGAAAGAAAGAAAGAAAAAAATAATTTAACTCTAAAGGTTTCTCGTAGTAAATATGTATTAGTTTTGCTATTTTTCCCTTTTTCCTATATATTTATAAGTGGCAGTAAGAGTTTTGAGTCTTTTGACAGTTTTTAAAAGTCACAGAATAATCATTCATTTTCCTACTAAGCAGTTTCAGTTAGCACATTTTTACTCTCTCACAGTGCCATGTAAAGGGCTATCTATAAGTTAAAATATCTGTAGGTCTCTCTTGTGTGTGCTCGCTCGCACTCTCTCTCTCTCCATATATATATATATATATATATATGGAGAGAGATACATACACAGAAATGAAAGACATTTACTTTATTAAAACAAAAAAAACTCAACAAATTTTATATTGGAATTTAGTTATAATCAGCATTGATTCCCTAAATAGGCCATCATTTAAAGGTTCTTTTTGCTATACAGATTTGTTATTATTTATAAACATCTCTAAAGTTAAAATTCATTCCTGAAAATACCTTAAAGATATAATAGTCTACTTATTTATTTATTTATTTATTGAGATGGAGTCTCGCTCTGTCACCCAGGCTGGAGTGCAGTGGCACAATCTCGGCTCACTGAAAGCTCTGCCCCCTGGGTTCACACCATTGTCCTGCCTCAGCCTCCCGAGTAGCTGGGACTACAGGCACCTGCCACCCCGCCTGGTTAATTTTTTTTGTATTTTTAGTAGAGATGGGGTTTCATCATGTTAGCCAGGATCGTCTTGATCTCCTGACCTCGTGATCCACCCGCCTCGGCCTCCCAAAGTGCTGGGATTACAGGCGTGAGCCACCACACCTGGCCCCTGTAGTCTATTTATTAATAAGGTCAGTTTAAACAACAGTTGAGGTACAAATGAGAGTGAAACAGTAGAAACAACTCAAGAACAAAGACACTTTACTAAAAGTATTAAAGAACATTTATTTATTAGATATCACTTTATTTTACATAATTGATGCTATATTTTTTTTTTGAAACAGAGTCTTGCTCTGTCACCCAAGCTGGAGTGCAATGGCGCGATCTCGGCTCACTGCAACCTCCATCTCCTGGGTTCCAGCGATTCTCCTGCCTCAGTCTCCCAAGCAGCTGGAATTACAGGAGTGCACCAGCACGTCCAGCTAATTTTTGCATTTTTAGTAGAGACAGGGTTTTGCCATGTTGGCCAGGCTGGTCTTGAACTCCTGACTTCAGGTGATCCACCTGCCTCGGCCTCCCAAAGTACAGGGATTACAGGTACGAGCCACTGTGTCCGGCCTAATTGATGCTATATCCTTATAAAATGTTTCCTACTTCTTTTACATTAACAATATCTCCGAAATGTATTACTTAAGCATATATATAAATGATGCAATATATTAGAAAACCAAATATTTTTAAAAATTTACTTACTCTTAGCCACTCTACCATGTTTTCTTCAATTTCACTATCGGCAGAGATGTCTAATATAAGACGTCGTGTCAAATGAGCTTTATGATACCTCATAAAAACATCTTTGTTCTGTACATACTTAAGTACCAAGAGCTGTATGAAAAACAAAGTTACTTTCAGTTCTTATATACTCTTAGCCATCTCTCGAATTTAGACCTTCCTATATCCACCAATTGTCACAAGTCAGAAATTTTTATAAGCATATAGAGGCCTACTAAATTATCCATCTCTGAGAAACACCCAGTCTTGATATACTACTTTAAAAGTTAGCAAAATTGAGACTATAACCAAATAAAATTGTAGTTGCTCTAAATATCAGTTTTTTAGATTTTATATAAAATGCAACGATATACTTCACATGAAAAAAATCAATGATTTTTTCTCCCCCCGCAAGTGTCTCTTCTACTTATCTTTTCCACATTTTTTTCTGACACTAATTATCTCTCTGGGCCTTTCTGTCTACACTTGCCCAATATCTTATTTTTTTCTTGTTTGTATTCCTGGGCTTACATCATTACACTAACAACTGGGTGACAAAGATGAAAGCAACTACTTAATCTCCTCTCACTCATCCCTTGCTATCTATCTTGGACTCTCACCAAAAGGAAGGAGTGAAAAATTCCCAATCTCTCAACTATCATTCCAAATTTGTTGGAATGATATGTCTTGTATTAGTAGCTAGAACTTAATTCCTAAAAATAATCAAGAAAGGAGAGGAATTAAATGGTATTCCCTTCAAGAAGCTGTAGAATAAAAATTTTCAGAAAGAAAAATAACCCCCCTTAGAGCTCTTGCACTGTAAAACTTCATAACACTAGTTCTTTACACATAATACATTTTTAAATTGATACTATCACAGGAAGTCCTGTAAGCAAAACACAAATTCAAAGTAAGGTAGTTTTAAAAGTTGAAATACAAAACATTATGTACCACTTCTTTAAGCTTTGCTTCAATCTCTTCGGAGGTTAGTTTTTTGCTTAATGGTGTTTTTCTTAGCAACATGTCACAGTAATTGGCAAGCAGCTCAGGGCATTTTGATTCAGGCTGAGTTTTTAATCCCACCCTAAAAAACAAATTAAAAGCAGTTGATGGAAAAATGATTGATGTTTGCAATTATTTTTTTCTAAAGCCAATTATTCACATGCGAATTTCTTATGTTAAATAATCTAGTGACCAGGTTTGGAACTAGGATGAGCAAGCATCCTAGGGTGCCTAATTTAGGGAGGCACTCACTGTTAGGTACCCCTAAGTGCTGATGCTGCACTTGCAGAACCCTGAGAGTAAGAATCTCCTTCAATTTTGCACTCTAGGTGCCTTCTTGCCTCACCCTAGTGCTGACCTTGGCAATGATAATTAAAATATTTTGTTCAGAAATCTGTTAAAATACTTTTGAAAAACTGTTAAATTCTTGGAAACTTATGTTAACATTTAAAACTTTTATGATTAATATATTAAAACAGTTATTTCACTCTTTAAAATGTATCCAATATAACCTACATTCCATAATGATGATATATATACCATCATGCATTTAAAAAAAACTATAAATGAATTCTTCCTAAGCAGTAAAGAATTTGTATCTCGATTTCATTTTCCTGATACAAATTTTTCTTTAGTTTGAGATGGAGTTTTGGTCTTGTCCCCCAGGCTGGAGTGCAATGGTGCCATCCTGGCTCACTGCAAACTCTGCCTCTCGGGTTCAAGTCATTCTCCTGCCTCAGCCTCCGGAGCAGCCAGGATTACAGGTGCCCACCACCATGCCTGGCTAATTTTTGCATTTTTAGCAAAGATGGGGTTTCGCCATGTTGGCCAGGCTGGTCTCAAACTTCTGACCTCAGGGGATCCACGTGCCTTGGCCTCCCAAAAAAGTGCTAGGATTATATGCATAAGCCACTGCACCTAGCTCCTGATAACAATGTAAACACACCATATTGTTGTTTTTTAAAAAATAACTGAGACAGAAACACACACAAATTAAAAAATTTTAAAAATTGAGACAAGGTCTCACCATCTATATTGTCCAGGCTGGACTCCTCCTGAGTAGCTGGGACTATAGGTGCATGCCAGTGCACCCAGCAGTATATTGTATTTTTATGCTTGAAAGTCTTACATTTATTTTTTATCCTACTTCTCTAAAAATATACGTAAATAAATTTAAATTCGGGATTTTGAAATTTCTTGTGCTTATAAAATGCAAGTATTGTTTTCCAAGGATTGAGCTATCCAAATGTTAAGTATACAAATAATCCAAACAATTATATTGTGCATACACATACATAAAATATATGTATGTGTAAAATTTTACTGAATGTATCAACTCGTAGTGGAGTGGATGAAACTTTTTTCCTCCCAATTATAAATCCAGGAATCAGCATAGATTAATTTCTTTTATTTGTATAAATTTATGTCTTTGCCCTGAGAAATTTTATTCACATAAGTAGACGAGACTAGAATAAGTTTGTCTTATTATATCAATTATTTGAGCACCTCCTGAGCCATATGCAAAACAAAAAATATCCATACTGATCTAATATTAAAAATTATTTTTAATGATGCATATTTAAAGAATGGCTAACAGTGAGGTGACGAATGAAGAAAATACAATCCATCCATCTCTCCTTGCAATGCCTGGCTCAGGTGTAAACTACTGTAACAATCGAAGTGATCTACCTCCCTCCTTCATTGAACCTATTGAGAGGTCAGCTATCAGTTATTATTTTTGTTTTGACATGGACATCTAGATACGTTGCTCAGGCTGGTCTTGAACTCCTGGGCTCGAGCAATCTTCACTCCTCAGCCTCCCAACTAGCTGGGATTACAAGCTAGCTATTAGTTTTATATTGTTTCTTTGAAGATAGGGTGTTATTTTTCCCCCTGTGACTGTTTTAAAAGTTTTATTATTGTTTTCAGTTTTAAGCTGTTTTACTATGATGTACCTAGGAATGGTTTAATTAGTATTTATCCCACTTGGGATTCACAGACACCCTTAAATCTTTAATCAATTTTGGAAAATTTTAGTCAATACCATTTCAAATATTGGCTAATACCCTGTTTTCTATGATCTATGACTTCAATTATATATGGTTTTAGACACTTTCTTTCCTCAGATAACAATTTCCATCTAATTGTCCATTAATATGTATTATTTCTTCATTGCTATTATCTAAGCTTATTAATAATTACTGATACATAATTTGCAAATCATACAAATCACTCACTTAAAATATACAATTCAGTGCTTTTAAAGTATATTCAGAAGGTTGTGTAATTATCACAATAAAATTTTAGAACATTTTCATTACCCCAAAAAGAAACCCCATACCTGCTAGCAGTCAAATCCCATTCTCTAGCTATCCTACTCTTGCCTCCCAGGCCTGGGCAACAACTAGTCTACTCTATGGATGTGCTGATTCTGGATATCTCAGATAAATGTTTTCATACAATAAGTGGTATTTTGTGACCCGCTTCTTTTACTTAGCATCAAGTTTTCAAGATTCATCCATGTGTCACAGCATGTACCAGTAGTTCATCCCCTTTTTTTTTTTAACATGTATCTTTTATTGAGAGTAAAAAAGATTTATCATTTTTAAGTGTAAAATTCAGTGGCATTAAGTACATTTCACAATGCTGTACAAACATCACTGATATCTATTTTCAGAGCTTCTTCATTATCCCAAACAGAAATCTTGTATACATGGAACAGTAACTTCCCATCCCCTGGTAACTTTTATTCTACTTTTTGTCTCAATGGATTTGTCTGTTCTTGATACCTCATACAACTGTATTCGTGCAAAATTTGTCCTTATGTGTCTGGCTTATTTGAATCACCATAATGTTTTCAAGGTTCATCTACCTTGTGGCATATAGCAGAATAATAATTCATCTCTTATGACTGAATAATATTCCACTGTATGGATATAGCACATTTTGGTTATCTATGCAACTAATGGACATTTGGGTTGCTTACACGTTTTGGCTATTAAGAGCAATACCACTCTACTATGAACATGTATGAGCATGTTTCTGAATGAAAGTATGTTTTCATTTCTCTTTGGTATATACCTCAGAGTAGAACAGTTGGGCCATACAGCAACTGTGTTGAACTTCTTTTGTTTGTTTTAAAAGACTAGTCAAGTGAAGCAGTGGGAGTGGAGAAGGAACAACTAAATCTGTAACTGGTTGTGATCAATTAGTTGTAAACACCACTGCACTTGGACCAGCCTATGCTGAACTTCTTGAGGAACTACCAAACTCTTTCACAGCAGCTGTGCCACCAACAGTATGATTCCAATTTTTCCATATCCTTACCAACACTTGTTATATCTGTCTTTTTTATTTTAGTCATCCTACTGGGTATGAAGTGGTAGCTCATTGTAGTTAAGCTATTAATCTTTTCTAAAATTTATTATTTTTTATTACACTTTAAGTTCTAGGGTACATGTGCACAACGTGCAGGTTTGTTACATATGTATACATGTGCCATGTTGGTGTGCTGCACCCGTTAACTCGTCATTTACATTAAGTATATCTCCTAATGCTAGCCCTCCCCCTCCCCCCTCCCCACAACACGCCCCGGTGTGTGATGTTTCCCTTCCTGTGTCCAAGTGTTCTCATTGTTCAATTCCCTAATTAAAGTCCTTATGTGCTAACTCCAACATCAGGATCACCTGAGAATCTGCTTCTAAAATGATTATTTTAGTTAAGTCATTAATTTCTCTGTCTTCATAAGACTAGTAATGCTGTACCGAATACTGGACACTGTATATAAAAGAATCACACAGGCACAAAATGCTGTTATCTTGCATTAAGAATGGGTTCACCCTTTGTTCTGCTATGAAGGGGAATCAGTCCCTCTCCAGGGTTAGCCACTGAATCGAAGATATGTCCCTCCTGGACTTTCAGTTCAGTGTCCAACGGGTTTTGTTACTCCAGTCCTGTGTGACCCCCAAAACATCTACTGCCCCCCAGCTGTATTGCTTAGCCTAGGCCAAAATTGCATTCTCAGCTGCAGCTTCTCCTTAGGGAAACACAGTTACAAATCCTCAAGTAACCTCTGAAAGGTTTATCTGGCATTTCTGTACATTTCAATCCTTTGTCATAGCTGTTTCTATAGCTCTTAAATAACATAAAATTACTATTTTCTATATTTACCCGATTTTCTAGCTGTTCTCAACAGCAGCATTGGTCTACCACAAATTACTACACTCCTCCTCAGAAGCAAGTCTTCCAAATAACTTGGATGCTATCACCAGTTTATTCTTCTAAAACGGGTGTCCAAACTTGTGGCCTCCCTGGGCCACACTGGAAGAAGGACTGTCTTGGTTCATACGTAAAATACACTAAACACTAATGACAGATGATGAGCTAAAGAAAAAAAAATTGCCAAAAAATCTCATAATGTTTCATGGAAGTTTACGAATGTGTGTGTTGGGCCACATTCAAACCCGTCCTGGGGAGCATAAGGCCTGCGGGGTTGGACAAGCTTGTTCTAGAACATCACCTCCTCCACACCTCTAGCAGCCACAACACCAATAGGTGCTGCCTGGATCAGCTAATGATACTTATTCTACTCCACAGAAATTTTCTACTTTGAGACAGGGTATCACTCTATTGCCCAGACTGGAGTGCAGTGGTGCCATCATAGCACACTGCAGCCTTGACCTCCTGGGTTCAAACGATCCTCCTGAATAGCTAGGACTACAGGTGTGCGCCATCATGCTCATCTAATTTTTTAAACATTTTGTAGAGATGGGTCTCACTATGTTGCCCTGATTGGTCTTAAACTCCTGGCCTCAAACAATCCTCCCACCTTGGCTCACCAAAGTGCTGAGATTACAAGCATGAGCCATGGCACCCAGCCTAGAAATGTTCTACTTTAATGTGGAGCTAAAAGTAGGACACAGTCACCTTAGAATCAGAAAACTAATAGAAACCCAGCAATCCTCACTTCTGGAAATTTATCCTGTAGATAAAGATTCACAAATATTAAATGTACAATATTATCCTCTGTAGCACTAACAGTAATAGCAACACATCAGAAACTACTTAATGCAGCAGTAAAGG